AGAGAGAGAGAGAGTGTGTGTGTGTGTGTGTGTGTGTGTGTGTAACAGTCAAAAAACCCTGTCAGCACTTCTGAGCATTCTGGACCGTTTCCTTCTCTAGGGGTCCTTTCACCAGCGCTCCAATCTGACCATCAACACACACACACACACACACACACTCTCTCTCTCTCTCTCTCTCTCTCTCTCTCTCGCTCTCTCTCTCTCTCTCTCTCTCGCTCTCTCTCTCTCTCTCTCTCTCGCTCTCTCTCTCTCTCTCTCTCTCGCTCTCTCTCTCTCTCTCTCTCTCGCTCTCTCTCTCTCTCTCTCTCTCGCTCTCTCTCTCTCTCTCTCTCTCGCTCTCTCTCTCTCTCTCTCTCTCGCTCTCTCTCTCTCTCTCTCTCTCGCTCTCTCTCTCTCTCTCTCTCTCGCTCTCTCTCTCTCTCTCTCTCTCACACACACACACACACACACACGTTTGTTATTGTGAATTCTGGGGACTTTCCATGGACTTCTATTACTTTTATACTGCCCAAACGATATTTTCTATTCCCTAACCCAACCCTAAACCTACCCCTTACAGAAAACCTGTTTGCATTGTTACACTTTCAGATAAACATCATTTACTATTTTTAATAATTTTTCCCTCGTGGGGACTGCAGGCCGGTCCCCACAATGTCAAACATTTCAGGTTTTACTATCCTTGTGGAGACATTTGGTCCTCACAATGTAGCATAAACAAGTACACTATAACACACACACTCTCTCTCTCTCTCTCTCTCTCTCTCTCTCTCTCTCACACACACACACACACACACACACACACACAACTGTCTCACCTTGTACATGATCAAAACATTCATTTTAATTGCCATTAAACTTCAAATGCTTCACTGACTGTGTGAACAAACCTCAACCGTTAAAGGGAGTGTGACCAATCTGACAAATACATTCATTTTGATCAAACATGTTTAGGTTTAAAATGAACTATATTTCATTGAAATGCAACGCACAATGCAAGACTATTTTTGAGACGTACATTAGATACTGATATAAGTGTAGCAACTGTAAACAGTTTTATTAAAATAAAAATGTGATGCTTAGATGGGCCACCAGAGCTTGAATCAGGCTTGTGTTATCTACTAGTTTCACTCTCACCATTACATTCTCTCTAAATCAGCACATACTATGATCATCCCAATCACATGAACGTATAGAAAACAGCACCTTGATGTTCCTCCATGTCAGCATCTGGTTGTCGAATCTCTTCAGTGAGATGGCTAATTTTCTCACCTACCTCGGAGAGCCTACATAAAACAAGATGTTAATTACGGGTTTCTTTATGTATCGATCATAAGATGCACAAATAAATATGATAAACTGATACAAAAATGGCAAAAAACAAATGGGCATTTTTAGTGCAATAATGTGCATCTACTAAGCAACTGTGAGTGAACATACATCATATACATTCATATGTTTTAGAAATACATACTGTCGTTCCATGTTGGCTATTTCCTGGTTGTTTTCTTTCACCTAAAACCAGCAAAAGAACAATCATGAAGTAAAGTCACTTGAAATATTTAAATGCAAAAATATAAATAAATCATATCCATCTTATTTTTCCTGTAAGAGAGGGCATGGCCATTTGTAAATTTAAAGTGTCTGGCTTCCGGTGTCACCCACTATTTTTAGCTGTACAAAACACCTTGTTTTGTGGCTTGATATTTCAAACTGGTGTGTCTTACCATATTATTTTAATGTATTATCCTAATTATGAACACACTGGTTTGTAGTGCAAACTGTTTGACCATTTAATGCATTTAGCCTGAGAGTGAACCAGATCCTGCAAACACAAGACACAAGAGTGTGAATGTTTGTAGCAGCAGCAATTTCTAATGTGACACACAGACAGTTTTTTCCACTTCATTAAAGCTCTCCACAACTGAACTCCTTTTAGACAGCTGCAATAAAAGGATTTGACAATAATCACTGAATGTAGGTCTACTGTCACTCTGTCAAATGTTTCAACTTGCAAAGTTTATGTGAAGCAGCTGTGTATTGTAACCTATAACAAACATGTCTGTTGTGAGCATGAATAAAGTTGCATCAAACATGCTAACAGTAGTACAGTGTTTCCTTACAGCCAAACAAAGTCCTGATTCATCAAGAGTTCACTGGTGTGTGTGTGTATGTGTGTGTGTGTGTGTGTGTGAGACCAAATGTCTCCACAAGGATATTAAAACCTGACATTTTTGACATTGTGGGGGAAAAAATGATAAAAAATAGTAAATGATGATTACCTGAAAGTGTAAGAAGGCAAACAAGTTTTCTGTAAGTGGTAGGTTTAGGGTTAGGGGATAGAAAATATTGTTTGGTCAGTATAAAAGTAATAGAAGTCTATGGAAAGTCCCCACAATTCACAGAAACAAACGTGTGTGTGTGTGTGTGTCCACTCACCACCTCAAACATCTCCTTCCTACTCATCAGAGTGTCCAGTCCTCTTGAAGGGAATCAAGCTCCTAGATGCAGATGAGAGGAGACATGGATGCGTTGTGACAGTGAATAACAGTCGACTTGGAATCACCCTCACAAATCATTCACAGACTTCAATTTAATGCTTAGAGTTAATAGTGAAGCTGTTAACTGAATAAACTAGAATTTATGTGGACCTGCGTCACTTATTGATTTTTGTTTTTAGCATTAACATCCATTGGGCATACACTTTTATCCAAAGTGACTTGGATAAGTGATTAGTTATTTTACCAGTTCTTGCATTGCCTGGGATTCAAAGCTATGACACTGGTGTCATTAATGCCCGCCATGTTTAACTGTTCATATACGACTGTCAAATATTAATCTGGGGATACAACTGAAAACATCCTTTAAAAAATAGTTAGAAGTTAAATGCCAAGTTCTTCTCTCCCCAAGCCAGTAAAGTGCAATCTGCTCACTTGTGCAAAAAACAACACAAAACAAAACAAAAAACAACACACACACACACAAAAGCATTTATCAAAGTAACAAAAACAAAGAAAATCAACAATGGGTTAGGTACTACAATGATTCAATAACTCACTGAACACCATTTACAGTCATATAGCATGAATAAATAACAAAAAGAATTATAACAAATAAATAATACAAATCATTTCCTCAAATACACAAATATAAGCAACACAACGCAACATACTAACATCGTTAGTAGTCCAGAGTAGTCCAAAATACCAAATTCCACCCATTTCCCACCATACTTGGTATCTTCCACTCCCATAATGCATCACAGAGAATTTATAAAAATACTAACAAAAGTTCTTTCAAGTCAAGTCAAGTCAAGTCACCTTTATTTATATAGTGCTTTTAACAATACAGATTGTGTCAAAGCAACTGAACAGCATTAATTAGGAAAATAGTGTGTCAATAATGTAAAATGACAATAGTAAACACACATTTTTCAGTTAAAGACAGTTCATCATTCAATTCAGTGATGTCATCATCTAGCTCAGTTCAGTTTAAATAATATCTTTGCAATCATTTGCAATCAAGTCAACGATATCGCTGGAAATGAAGTGTCCCCAACTAAGCAAGCCAGAGGCGACAGCGGCAAGGAACCAAAACTCCATCGGTGACAGAATGGAGAAAAAACCTTGGGAGAGACCATGCTCAGTCGGGGCCAGTTCTCCTCTGACCAGACGAAACCAGCAGTTCAATTCCAGGCTGCAGCAACGTCACATTGTGCAGAGGACTCATCTAGTTCCTGTGGTCTTGTCCCGGTGGACTTTCAAGACTTTTAACAAGTCAAGATGGTCAATCTAGGTGAGTCAACAGTTTCTTGAAGCAATATAAATGAAATGTATATTTGTTTAGTGCTCAGGTGGTCAGTCTGAGACACCATAGATAGTTGAGACACCATATCTTTATCCAAAGGATGTTAAAGAAAAGGAATTTGGGGAACGGAGAGACAATGACACATTAGTGTTACTTGCATTCTGCTAATACAGTTAGCACACCAGTCCTTAGTGTGGTATTACTGGGGGAATGAGACAGACCCTAGCTCTTCATTGGTGGCTTTCATCTCAGTGTACTTGGCCTGTTTATCAGCTGACATCTTCTGAATTATGTTTTGGGCAGCCTGTTTCTCTTGGACTATATCATCCTCCACATAACACTGAATCTGTCTGCAGCTTTCATCATCATTCAGCATCAGATCCTCCTATGCTTCCTCTGGACACTGGGAATCACAGGAACCACACTCCTGTTGTTGTACAGGTATATTCTTCAGGGAATCCAGAAGAGGAGCAGTGTTTTCACACCTAGTTCGCTTGAGCCCTCCAAATGCTCTCAGAGTGGTTCAGCTTGTATATGTGAACAAACCAAGTGATCTCGGACCATCTAAATGGTTTGTTTGTGGTTCAATTTCCTCGTGATTTGTCAAAGCAATGAGGTGTCAGTACGTTTTCTATGGACCAACATAACAAATGCTTGAGGTTTAACTAAGCAGTTTATCATTTGTATGTTTTTTTTTGTATATATAGATTTTTTTTATTATTGTTATTATTTACCAATGTAATTCCAGATGTTTTAGACTCTTGTTACATTTCTCAAAAAGAAATAAATAAACAGGTAAATAAACCAACTGTTAATTCTAACAATACAAAATAATTATGTTGTATTTATATAATCTATGGCTAGCTGTGCATTAAATGATTTTAATGAATGATGTGAAGGCAAAGAAGCACCCGACGCACAGCAGAGATCTAGCATTCTGCCCACTTTAAATCAGACACAGAGATGAAGTACTGCGGTGAGATCACATTTATTGGAATGCAAGAATTATAGCATTGATTTAGATTAATTATTGAGAGAGGGGGGGGGTGAAAGTTGCATATGTGATTTGCATCTGCGTGTCTCATTCCGCAAACAGTGAAGCTGTGAGTTTAGTTTCCTCAGTTTCTATGCTGTGCTCCTTTCTGTGCATGTGCAGTGTGATCTCCGATCTCTGTGTGTGACTGATGAGTGTCTGTGTGTGGGTTTGTGTGCGTCAATGAAAGCAGCGCTTTAATACAGAACGGTGATTAAACTGACTTTGAACTACCTGTGCATTACAACCAATCAGAATTGAGTATTCAGACAGACCATGATATAATATTATAGAATTATTTATGAAAAATAACTACTAAAACTGAACAATGAAAAACAGCTTACCTTGAATAAAAAAAAAAAATATTTATCTTATCTGAGAAAAGAAGGTTGAATTAACTTTATACTTAATGTTCCCTTTTAAGATTAAATTTGACTGAAATGCATTGATAAAGCTCTGTGAATGTCTTGACCGGAGATATGATCAGGGATTTCCAGCTCATCCTCACCCTCTTCCCTTTCCACTTCATCTTTTCCAGTAGGTCAGACTCCAGCATTTCCCTGCTGCACAGAGAGCTGGATTCTGAGTTCTTATGAAGTTGTGGTGTGATCACGAAAGGGTTTAAGATCACTTCAGTGCTTAAGAGGACCAAACAAAGAAACAGGTTCTCTTTTGAGTCCTTTATACTGTTAACACCAAAGGACTGAGTTCACTTTAAGTGAACTTGGTTTGGATCTTTTCAAACAAACTTGTGACTTTTCCTTGTATACATAACATCACTATTTATTCAGGCACGTGGTGTTTCCTACCACTTGTGCTGATGACACACATCTCTACTTCTCCAGGCTTATGATCCTACAGTAACTGCATGAATCTTGACTTGGAAAGAAAAATCTCCAATGGTTCCCATTTTCCCATCTAATGAAAACTGATCATCTTACTGTACCTTCCCAGTCACCCCAGCACAGCCAGTAAGATCAGGGTAGTGTTTGAGGTCCAACTGAACTTCACAGACAGAGGTCATGCACATCTGTGTTACAACTTCAAGAAAACCAGGTCGTGTTACACAATAATAATCCAAATTTAGACAATTTACAGTTCCATGGCAACTTTTCTAAACAAATTTAGATAATTATTTCAGTTTATTAAAAAGCTCTAGAATATACCAGAGATTAAAGATTATTTTCATGATTGTATTAAATCAAGAGAGACTAAAGATTATTTTCATGATTGTATTAAGAAACTTTGAGACTGTACCAAAGTTCACTTCGTGAATTTGACAGACGTTTATCCAAGGCAGCTTACATTGCATTTAAGGTATACATTTTTATCAGTTCATGCATTTCCTGGGAATGGAACCCATGACCTTGGATTTGCTATTGGCGTGCTCTACTGCTTGAGATACAGGAACAGCACAATAAAACTCATAGTTCACTATCTTATGTCAGTGACTGTGGTCAATCTTTAGCCAGTATTTTTATTACAGAGAGCAAAGGTTTGTCTCTGTCTGAGCTCTTTTAAGCATGAGTTGACATAGACTATTACACAGCACTCAAGGGTAAGTGACTCTTACATTCATATCTATAACTTTTTTTTATTTTAACCCTTAACAAAAGTGAAAAACTGATGTTTTATGCAGATTATGAGGCAAAGATCCTAAATGCTATCATAACACTTTGACTTTAGATTGACTCAAAGAAATGTAATAGCAGCCTGTTGAAACAAATTGATTACATTATGAAAACCTGGAATAATGCCAGATAATGGTCACCACAGGCTTTTCTTTACTTCAAAGGTTCAAAGAGGCTGTTCAAATGATCTATTAAATGCAACTTAATTTGCATGCATGGTTAAGCATAACGAAAAACAAATATAAATTTTGAACTGAACCAACCATAAAGCAAATGGAGACGACGGGCTGTCAGGTGTGTTAAAAAAAAGACAGATGGGCGGAGCTTTACAGCAGAAGGCAATGTGGGGGGTGGGGGGGGGATAAACCAGTCTCAAATTTGCACAGGACGCAAAACACTGACACATGTAAATATCTAACAGGACTGTGAGTGGTATACAGGCAATACAGGAAAAGACAAAGACAAAGGTTTTTGGAGGAGTTGAGGAGAAAAACAGAGCTACACTTATCACTAGAGAGTTTTTTTAAATCCAGTAATAGGAATTAGCCCAACATTACTATTACGACAGATCCTGAAAAACACATTCATATTAAAGATGTGGTAATTCAATAAATTGCAACTGTATTGAATAGACAACATACTATAACAACCTCTTCTAAGTCTCTGTTAGAGACATCAAGAATTGCACACATGAGAGCAAGTGCAAAGCATATGACAAAGCATTGCATTCTGCAATTGAGGCGGGCTCTGGTAAAAAAAATTAATAAAAAAAAGGAACATTTCCAGCCAGTCCATGTTTATAAGATGAGAATGAAACAAGCATCTGTCCTTAATGAAACTGAACAATAATGCATCACAGCAAGAAAACAGGCCTCACTCCTCTAGAGAACACTGGGTGACTTTGTGTATCATGCCAGCCAGAGAAGACCATGAGTATCTTTGTGGCCGATGGCAGATAACATAAAACAGCAACAAACACAAGCAGAGAGACACGGGACAGCAGCATGCTGATAGGAGAGGGACTCGTCTGCACAAAGATCCTCTTTATGTGACACTCATTAAGAGTGTTTTTACTTTCTCAAGAACCTTCTCTGCTCTTTATGACTACAGCTCACAAGAGACAGGACAATTTAGCAAGAGCTCGCTTTCCTCTTATGGGCAGGACGCTGTTTGTTTGGTTGATGCAGTGCTGTTATCACAGGTAACACAGATCATGGCCGGGAGACAGATGCATGTGGTGTGGGTCACAGCGGTTCTGATGAGCACCGGTGTAATCGCACAGCAGGTGAGTGTCTTTCACACACAGTTATGACAACATGTTCTGTATCAAAGTAATATTCATGTCTATGTTACTGTCTAACAATTAGTCACAGCCAAATCATAGACTGGAGAAGTACAAGTTGATGTAAAACACAGTAAAAAAAAGAAAAAAGGGAGGATCCGCAGTCTCCTGTTCTCATGGCTCGTCAAGCATTACACTCCGATGTCAAACAAACATTCACCATTTGTGTTCAGGTGGACATGGGCAACTCATCTCTGACAGAGGTTCCAGAAGATACACCTACAAACATCACCGGATGGATCCTAAGCAACAACTCACTTGTGATGTCCGCCTCGGATATAAACACCTTACAGAAATATCGCAGGATTACTGTGCTAGACCTTTCTTATAACCTCATACAGACGCTGCCTCCTGGAGCCTTTGACAAACTCACTAACCTAGAGATTCTTAAACTGAGGGGAAATAGCTTGCAGACCCTTGACATAAACATCTTTAAAGGACTAACAAAACTTAGGAGTTTGGACCTGAAGGACAACCCATGGAACTGCTCCTGCTCGCTCACAAGCCTCATCAAAGAGCTGAATGACTCCGGCGTATTAATAGGCGAGAACGAGCGCTTAAGTTGCTTTTTATTTTCAGATACTGTGTACAAGCCTTTGTCAATTTAATGTTTCTTTTGTTTGACTTATTAATCTGCAAAATCGCATGTTGGTCTTGCAGGGAAAGAAGTCACTTGTTACACCCCCCAGAAAACAGCTGTGCTTGATGGAAACCCTTCCTGCTCAATTCAAGCCTCAACTGCCAAAACATCTGTGGAGAAATCTACAGCTACCACAATGAAAACCAGATCAACACCAGCACCAGCGCCCACCACAGAGCCAAGCAACAGCAGCCACGTCAATGGCTCCAGCAAAGGTAAACACACAAGCAGTAACACGCCTGACTGTCTGTAAAACACTGTGACTTGCACTGAGCTCAAACAGTGCAGCGACCATAACACAATCAGACGAAGTTACAGCACTCTGCTGTGGATCCTCTTAGTGGACACAGGATAAATAACTGCGAACATTTTTCTCAAATACTGTTGAATACACAGCTGATGTCAGTGGACTCTACAGAGCATGTGTTTCTCCTCAGGGTTGATGGCGAGGGATGGTGAGACACACACAGGAAGCCACAGCTGGAAGTTCCTGCTTGGTGTCGTTGCTCTAACCCTCAGCACTTCCATGCTCATTGTATGTGCTGTCAAATCTCCCTCATGGTACAAGCTTCTGTTTAATTACCGGCACCAGAGGCTATGTGAGGATGTGGAGCACAACGTCTTCAATACCGGACGCTTTTCCAACTTCAGTCTAGACACAGAGCAGACGGACACGAGCACTCAGGAGTTGGACACTGGACTGAGCTTGCAGCCCTTTGAGGATGATGATGGCTTCATAGAGGACGGCTACATTGAGCCAGGAAACTACAGAGAACACGCGGATGCTGACGAGTCTTGAGCAAGATCTGCAGCAGGAGAAGGACAGGGGCTGCAAACAGGTGGAAAAATGAAGCTGCGAGCTCTTGCATTAAACTGTGAGGATCTGTTTATTCCAGTGCAGTAGTGCAATATGAAAAAAACCTTTAAAATATGAAACCCAAAGATCACTGAACTGGAATTGCAAATGCATGTATCTCAGCAGGTAATTGTGTGTAAAAACTGTCTGTCACAGCACTTTATCATAAAGTAATTCTAATTTTTACTCAAAGATCTTTCTTTTTAAAAGCTTTTCAGTGATGTATGCAATAGTGTATCCCTAATATCCAACAAAATATCCAGGATGTAAATTGATTGCATGTAGTTTTTTCTGTAGGATATGTAGAATCGTATGTAGAATATGTAGAATAATTTAAAAAGAAGCTCTGGCATGATAGAACTGAAAAGCAGTCGTACTCGTGAGGAGATCGAGAAACATTTCACAGGTCAGCTGCTGCCCTCTTGTGCACAAACTCTGCCAAACCTTTACTTGTGAAGAAACAAAAGGACTTACTCTCGTCTCTCGGTGAATATCATGTCCATACTATGAGCTTCTCTGTCGTTCTGTGCTTTCAGCTAAAGAGATGAACATAAAATAAAATTAGCAGGAACATGAGAAGAGCAAAGAGGATGATGTTGCTGTTTAAATAATGTCATCTCACCATGATTATGTCATTCACCACTTCATCCATCTCAGTGTTTGTGTTCAGCTTGTCAACCAGCTGGTAATTAAAAGATTATTTAAATAATGGCATTATGCATCCCAAAATCTAATTCCAAGTCTTTTACTGATTCAAAATAAAGAGACTTGTAGTACTGATTTAAATTAATGTATTATGTTGTAATCTGCCAGTTGCCCTTGAAGATCTTTGACTTCCACTCTGTTCACAGAAAAAGTTTGAAAACATTACATTAATTACTGCATCCTGATGTCATCAATGCTAAACCACTGAACAGTTAAGGGGTCTTATTAGAGGAAATTCCATAAAATACAATGAAAATATACAGTTATACTATACAGTTTGAGATCACAGTGGTGTTAAAGACATTAGGCAACATTTGCAATATTACAGAAGATTTCTATTTCAAATAAACAACGTTCTTCAAAATTTCTGTCCTAAAAAAAGAAAACTCTATCATGGTTTCCAAACATTTTCAGTGGTGATTCTGATCAAAATAAGAAATGTTACTTGTAAAATATATTAAAATGGATAAGTTATTTTAAATTGGGTCCCACATTATATTAAGGGGCCTTAACTGCTATGTACTTACATCAAACAATAAGTACAATGCACTTATTGTGTTCATATAATATTGCAAAACACTTTTGCTGGTATTGAGGTGGATACGGGTAAGGTTAGGGACAGGTTTGGTGGTATGGGTAAGTTTAAGGGTGGGTTAAAGTGTAAGGGATGGGTCAGTTAGGGTTAAGGGGGTCGCACACCTGACGAGAAGTGCAGAGCCGCGCCACGTCGCACCACGTCTTTAAAATTCGAACACATTGTTTTCTATGAGAGTACGCACACTGCCGGCGCTATTCAGTGTCTGTCCGCGGCGCCCAGCTACGACTCAGGACGCTGTTCAAATTACTGCCGCGCCACAGAGCACCATCTGCATAGTTTTATATTAAATAGCATCATATTTGTCTCAAATCGTTGTTAACACATTATACCAAGATAGCACTTCTTCAAAATACTACATACATTAGTTTTACAGCTCGAATAAAATGTAAACATATAGAATTAAATGTATAATAAACATAGTCCTTTTAATCTTTTATCTTTCTCTTGAGACATTTTTACATACACAAAATATTACAGCATTGGCTTATGTAACAATTGCCTGTTGTGATTACATTCACTGCCTTCAGCTGCCACCTACTGGATTTACCAGGTCACAACCGCCACAACACACTTCAGGTAATTTAAATAGCGGAGTAGCGGACCGCAATGGATGACGAAATACTAATCAACGAAGTAGGGAAATACCCAGAATTATATGCAACAAACCATAGATTCTTCAAAGACAACATAAGGAAGTCATCAGCATGGAGGAAGATTGCCGATGTCATTGGTTTTTCAGGTAAGAATGTCTAATTTATGATCTGAGGTAAAATGTTCAGTGACAGACGTTAGCAACAACTGTATGTAATTGTATAGTAATGTTACAATCATAAAATAACGTACAGTACAGACATTGTCTTAATTTCATAATGTCCTTAAAAATAATAATGTTGACCACAAACTGACAATTATGTTACTTTAAGTAAACAAATCCTCATGTTGAATTAAGACAAACTACCTCAACAGGAATATGATTATAATTAAAGTTAACAATGAAATAAGCATACCTTACACAAAAAATATGTAGCATCTTTTTTTTATTAAGCAAACAAATCAATATAATAGCTACAGCATAAGAAATGTTGAAATTGCTTATAATAATACAAAACAATACTAATAACTGATTAATGGCAATCTAGCCTAATATGAATGCTAATGATAATCAGAGACTAAATTATGAGCTAAGCAGAAATAAGATATCTAGGAAGTGATCAAATCTAATATCAATTAAATTATTAAAGTAAAGTCAGTAAGGCAACACTATAGTGACCATTACACCATTTCATGCTGCCAAGATACATGTCCTTAAGAGTTGAAAAAAACTTGAGAAGGACGTTGTGCAGGAGGCATGCTGACAAAATGAAGCTGTTTATTTTGTCAGGGTGTACGTTGATCCTGCTATGCAGGATCCTCCAGTGAGATGACAAAATGCCAAAGGCATTTTCCACCACATTGCACGCTCGAGACAATCTGTAGTTGAAGATACGTTGTTGTGTGGATATGTCTCGACCAGGGTAAGGCCGCATCACGTAGGTTTTTAATGGGAATGCTGCATCCCCAACAATAGTGAATGGCATTTTCCCCAGGTGCTCTGCTCCTGGTAGCTGCTGATCATCTGGTACCTCCAGCTTTTTTGCATCCAATGCCTGCCCTATGGCTGAGCCAGCAAAGACACCCCCATCACTTGACTGTCCATACTTTCCAATAAGGACTAGGCGGAAGCAATATTCAGCATCGACCACAGCCAATAATACTACAGAGAATGTTTTTTTGTAATTAAAGTAAAGGCTGCCTGAATGAGGTGGTGCAAAGAGGAGGATGTGCTTCCCATCTATCGCTCCTATGCAGTTAGGGAAATTCCACCTAGTTGAAAACTTTGAAGCAATATTCCTCCACTCCTGCTCAGTAGGTCTTGCTAGGTGTGTATCCATCATGCACCTGTTAATTGCAGCACATGTGTCCTTGATGGCTTTAGCCACTGTGCTCTCCCCCGTACGATAGTGGAAGGCAAGCGTTCTGACTGAATTTCCTGTGGCCAGATACCTGTAAAACAAACATTAATATAAAAATGTATTTCTATCTCTTCACAGAAAATGAGTGCAGGACAAGATGGAAGTCACTTCGAGACAGCTACATTAAGTGGAAAAAAAGACAGCAGTTGCCAAGTGGCTCTGGAGCAGTGCGTCAACAGGAATGGAAATATGCTGCTGCGATTTCCTACCTGAATGTATTTCTACAAAATAGAAGGTAATATTTGTAGTTATGTAGTAATTGTAGTAATTTGTAGTAATTTGTAGTAATGCACTTCAAATTAACTTTGTAA